CTACATCATTTCCCCCAAATATATGTTCTGGAGAGTGAGAGCCTCCTCTCCAAGAAAACCAAACACCCCCAGTGAAAAAAAAAGCCCAACCAAAAACCCAAAAACCCCCAAACAAAAACAAAAAAAGAGATTGAGGCCTAACTCTGTGGAGATGTTTCACCACAGTCACTGCACTTTTATTCCATTTGTTTCATTCCATTTCCTACAGTGGGAGTGTTATCATGTTCTGTGTAAGAAATTACTCTTCATCCGGTTGTCCTAAAATTTTATTGACATAAAAATATAAAACTGGTGAGTGACAGATGAACTTGTTTGCAGGGTGTGGAGCAAAATGCTTGTGTTGGGGAGAAAAGCTAGTTCAAACCAGAAGCTACTGAATGAGAGAGTTTAAGCAAAATACTACTTAAATTTGTAGAGTGGGTATGCACCCACAATATTGGTATCCACAGTCAAGAGTATGTACACATCCATCATGTATGCACATGCACATGACTCTAAGCATATACTATGTACACACCTCTGCTTTACTTTACTGTTTCTCATGGACACCTTGCCTATTAAAGGAATTGTTGGTGCGCAACTGTTTTGTGATTTCCAAACTGACTAGCAGCTCTTTCTGCTCTTTATGGCTTCAAATATGCAGCAAAATTACATGAAATGAATCTTTGAATAGGCCAAATTAAGGTCGGTGTTTCTTCTACTGATAAGGAGTTTTATACATCCAAACAGTCTTCTTTTACATCTTTTTTTGCCAAATCTTGTGGTGTTTCATGAAAAACCAAATTATATTTAAGAAGTAGGTTAGTGTTCCTTTTTTAATACAGATTAAAAAAATAAATCACAAAGCAATTTTTTAAATTATTGTTGTAGTGTCTGGATTGCTGAATGTGAAAGTTGCCAACGGACAATTCTGTTCCACTGCTCCAAATACCTTCTGGGTATCGTAATATTGTAACAGATTTCCCAAGAAGCAGGAGCCATGGAGATTGTGTAGTATATAGCCTCCAAAGTCTTTTTTTGTTGTTTTTTTAAATTATTTTTAAAATGTGATGTGTTATTAGAAGGTTAAAGATGAGCGATATGAACAATAACTAAATGTCTTTATATTTCAATTTAATAATTTAAATTATTTACAGTTTAGTCAAGTTAAGGAAACTGAAGAGATGCAATCCTCAGCTCCAGGTTTCATCTCATAAAGAAACACTACTGGATGGAGTAACATTCCGGCAAAAGTTTGAATGCATAAGAAGCTCTGTGGGACTGTACTGGAAAATCTCATATGGATTATATAGACCTAAGTCTTTGGTCAGTTGGTTCTTTCCCCTGCCATAGAAAAGACTTCTTAAAGACTTCAGTGTAAAGTTGGTGTGTAAATATATGTTTGATAACTGTAAAGCACATACGTACACAGAGACACAGACACACATGCACACTGGAAAATCACCTTCTACTTTTGTTCCCCTTATGTACTACAATTAGTGCAAGAAATCTCAGCCAAGGGCTCTAAGAAAATTAAAACAAAATGGTTATTAACATCAACATTTAAATTGTCCACTTCAAAAATAAATAATTCAAATGATATTGAACGTGTCTATAGTGTGTTCATTAAGTAGTGTCATGACAGTTAATTGGAAAATACTTGTGAAGTTTTCTTCTAATCTAATTTTGCACAAGATATTTTATCCCTGTAGTGAAGACATGGGGCCCCTTTTAGCATTCCCTGCCAATTGTTACACCTGAAGAGTAGAGGCAAAAGAGTAAATGAGGCTGTGCCTTCAAGATATAAGAAGTCTGTCAAGGCACACAGAGTTTTTAGGTCTCACTTGTAGTGAGGAAGTACTGCTGCCTACTTGGGATATTTGCACTCAGGCTGCTTGGCATGTTTACTAAAATCTGTATACAGTAATTGCTAGTACAAGTTCCTCTAAACTTTGCTTACTATTAAATCGCTATAATTTACCTGGGAAATTGTGCAGTATTTCTAATCTAATTTGCTTTTTACATGTAATATCCAATTATTTGCCAGTTGACTTGTGGAAAAGGTGGGAAGTGAGTCAGGGCTCCCTTTCCCAATGAATGGTTTATTAGATGTGTCTCCTTCACCTCTTTCTTTCATCGGACTGTGGCTATTATAGATTAGGGAAAGAAGTGACAAGAAAACACCAGCATTCATTACAGCATAGCTTCGAGGTAAGAAAGCTGAATAAAACCAAAAGTGTAGTCAATTATCAGGAGGGTAACAGACACTTTATATTAAAAACCAAATCTTTATTCAACTAAGAAGGTCTTTCTACCATAAGTATTAGAAGTGGAGAACCCAGGACATTTTAACAATGGCCCAAGGGGATTTCTAAGGGAAAGCAGCCAGTTCCATTCCTCATTGAGTGAAAGCTATCTAGGAAAGGAGAAAAGAAAGTGAAGCACCACCTGTGCTCCTACTTGACTTAAATCAGAGGCATGGGGAGGAACAAAGAAGTAAATAATTATGTTTAAATAATCAAGTCACATAATCACATTATCTGAACAGCAATTTCTTGCTATTCTCTAATAATTGAATTCCTATGATGTTTTTGATTTTAGTATTCCGAGTAATTCTCTGTCTTCTCTCTTCAAGATGTTAAAATAAACTATGTTTTATACAGAGTTTTCTGTACAAAAAATTCTGAGTGTATAAGAAAACTGAGGCACAGCAAAGTTAGAACTAAAAAGCCTGTTGGTTGAAGACAGGTGCTGAAATTAAATCCCTTGACTCTTAGTCACCCACCTGGATATATCATACAATTAAATTTGCATATATTTTCTCAGTTCTAAGGTTTATCAGTCATGCAGTGCACTGCCACCTGAAAGAGCTCCATTAATACAGCTGGGATTTCACTTCACCTGGGCAACAATGACATTCACAGAAGAGATGTCCCATCTGCTGCAGTAAGAATGCCATCTGTCCTTTCAGCATTTGCACTCTATACAGCAAAACAAGTTTTGAAGGGAAAAAGGTATCCTTAAAGAGTCCTTATCCACACATTTAATTGGCTATGATTTTTCAAGGGTGAAAGAGAGGAGGCACTAAGAGTCAGCAGTGTAGGAGAAATATTATCTCTTGGGCTCTTCCCAAATAGAGGTTCTGGCAAGCTTAAAAATCCATTGCCTCATCCATTCCACCTCAATCTTTGCCTAAAAGGATTAGGTACCCATAAAGGACAGGATAGGCAATGGGTAAGAATTATTAAACCTTTCCAGTGTTAACCGTACCATAATGAAAGATTTTTTTTTCTAGAACTATTTTTGCAGTTGCTATTTCTGAGGTCATTTATCATTGCATAACACCCTTTTCACTAACATTGTCAAGTATTATATATGTCAACTAATTGTTTTTACAGAGAGGAAGTTTTGTTATTAATTTCTTCAATGTTCTTAATTTTCTCCTCCTGCTGGCCCTTCTCCCTTTTCTATCCTCTACTGAACACATATATCTATTTTTGTCTTTCTTCTGCCCATTAATTCTTTTCACTAAGTTGTTGTTTTTTCTGGAAATGTTACTTCTCAGTGTTCTTCCAGTCTTTATGCATTCTCTCACATTTTGTTTTTTAACTATCCCACAGTTCCTGGAAGATACTGGGACACATCCTTAAATTTTAGGAATCAAAAATATTCTGTAAGTGGATTCACTCAAAATAACCACATTTTCCTAAATTACTCCTGTTTGGAGAAAGACCAGGTGGCCTGGCATAGAGCTAGCTGGAGTCACTGACCACTTCCCCATTAAAACAGCTACACTTCATGCCAAGGGCGTGTACAGCTTCTGTTCCTTTCTGTCTAGCACAGAACACATTGCTTTATTGTCCCTGCAAATTACCTCAGCTCTAGAGAACAGCACAAATCGAGCTGTGGAGTGCTGCAGGAGTTGCTGACCTCCTCCAGCTGATCCAAGGTACATCCTATCTCATTATCTGGATGTGAGGTGTAGAAGTGAATGCAAAGAGAAAGACAGACAGTTTCTTGGCGAGCTGAAAAGGGATGAATTACCAAGGAGAGACTATTTCTGTATCTGTAACATGTCAAATGAATTATGTCAGGTCTTGTGACTCTTACTACTTATTGGAAAATATTTGTGGTTATCCCTGATACTTCCCCAAATTGTCTCATAGAGAAAAGTTTTGCATCTCTTTGTTTCTCTTTTACGTAGCCCTCTGTATGTGAGTCTGTTCTACACTGTCACAATTCTGCTCCAGGATTTATCTTCCAGCCCTTCAATACAGGCATGTATATATTTTTATAGATACATTATATTTTTATCTAAATAAATGAAATACATGACTCAAAAAAACCACCTTTTCCAAGAGTAGTTACTCAGAGCTGCTTTTACAGACTTGTTCACAAAGTTGTTCACAAAGTAGCTTGGCCCAACATATGAATACCCTTCATATGAATGGAATTATTGGAGATTTTAAAAAGGATTGCTTACATGTAAAAATACATCTTTAGATTTTTTTAGAATTCATGTACAGTTAGCAAGGCTGTAAGCATTCATTTAATTCTTTTTAAGCATCATTAATGAAACAATTTATCAGACAATATACTTTGCTATGAATTTAAACAGTATGGCTTTTTAACTGATAATTTCTATTGAAATTTTAATTTTAAAATCATGATTTTGATCAACTGGAAGAGAAGTTTAAGACTTATGTTCAGATTAGAATGCCTATGAGACTAATGCACTGTGATGAAAGAAGGGACAAAGTGAAATTTTAATGTGAGATTCTGAAACACCAATTCAAGCATGCAGTCCACAGAATCTCTATCTCCAGCAGGTAGCCTTAACTTGCATAAGAACTAAGAAAGTTAACTAAGGAAAAGTGTGATAAGCAAAAATAGACAAGATACTGCTTTTAAATACTAGTTTCAAGGGAAACGGAATAAATTAAATCTGGAGCATGGGTGAATTTACCTGATTTCTTCTCTGCGTTGTCTACTTGAACATTTAACTGCTTAAAAACTCCTACCTTGAGGTAATTTTGCCAGCCTGTCAAAAATCTGATGGGTGTTCTTCCGACAGATATCTACTGGATCATCCAGGAGCCCAGCAAGGGCAGAAATGACTCCACTTCGTATTAGCCCTTCCCTATGAACAACAATGGAGGACAGATCTAACACAGTATAATAAAACTTATATATATTTGAGATATTTAATCTAAACTGCTCTTCTTTATGTTGCATCTGTCTGAAAAAACTTAAAACTCTGTTTTTATTTCTCACTGAAACATCACTTTGGAATTGCACCTACCTGCCAATACTATGCAAAGCCATTACAGAGAGAACTTCTGTTGTTTTTTGCCGGACAGTTTGGTCTTGATGCACCAGCAAAGTCTTCAGGCTATCCAAGAATCCTATGAGACATCAGAGTTCATTTTAACATTTCTTACCTCCAGCATTAATTTGAAATTATTCAATCGTTCAAGCAATATTCATCAGTTATCTCACAATTTGAAGCGCCTCAGAATTTTCAGCTTGTCCTGACAGTGCAATTCTAATTGTCATATCTCAAGTAAGGAAGAAACTTCCCAATGTTAAGGCCTACTGCCAAAAATGTCATGCTACAAACAAGCTCCTGACTCCTTATCAAGTTAAATCCTAATCCTGCAAATATAAAGTGACATAACTCTAAAAATAAGCCAGTAGAGCTACTGATGTCTTTAGAAAAGCATGTTTTTGCAGGGTTGACACTCACTTGTCTTTTCTGAACAGAAATAAATGTGGTGAACCATTAATGATTGTGTATGCACATATGGCACTGACCAAAGCCAAAAAACCTAACAACCCCAAACTAACAATCTCACATTGCTTTGGCAATCAAACTGTTCATCAAACACTAACTAAATAAATTTTAAACATGATTAGTCTCTTTTATGAGAGGAAAAAAATACAAAGGAAGTAAATGGAAAAAAAAGCAGTAGCAAACAAGGATTTTTTTCTGTTACCTAATGAGCTACCTGTGTAGATACACCACAGATTGCTAAAAATTGCAAAAATAAGCTTGTGGTTAGGGGCTTTTTTCCCCCCCGATATCAAAACTCAGTATTCTTCCAGGCTTTTGAAATAAGTGGTGGCCAGATGTAGTCCTTATGAGTATGATAAATTTGGTTATATTCCTTCCTTTTCTAATTTCTCATTGAGTTCTAGGCAAGCAAGTGATGATGTGATGGGGTTATAACTTGGAACCAATTAAGTGGGGTTTTTTTAAATTAGCCTATGATAGGAATTAGCTAAAATCAGAATAAAGTCTGGGGACATGGTTTAGTGGTGATCATGGCAGGGCAGAGTTAACAGTGGAACTGGATTATCTTGGAGGTTTTTCCCAACCTTAACAGTTCTTGGATTCTATAGAAATAAAAACTCTGCACTACTTTTGTATTTTTTGGGGTTGATAAAACAGTGAGCCATTGATGAACCCTAAAGTGATGATAATTCTTATAATAACTGTTGTGTACATGGTATTACAATATTCTTTACCTAAGGTAAAACAAACAGGAAATTTTTCCTGGGCATCTTGTGTCATCAAAGATATTATAAGGAAAAAGTAATGGAAGAAAGCAAAGTGGGGTTCCCCCCTCATCCTGCCCCACTGTGTCAGAGCTAGTGAGAACAGATCACTCACCTAATGCTATTGCCTGGTAGACTTTTTCTGGATCATGGACAAGATCGCAGAGAGCCATCAGCGCCCGCTGCTGCATCAGCAGCTCGGGGGACTGCAACTCCTCATTGAGTTTAGGAAGGGCCCTCCTCCCAAAGGCCAGAGCAGCTTTGGTGGGGTCTATATCAGGGGGCAGGTAGGCTGAGATATGAGGCTGTGCCATCCTAAATCTTCTTGAGAAAGATTCTCCCTATCCCTAAAATTACTGCAAAATGGCTGTACTTGGTGACTGGGCAGATAATGTACCATAAAGCCACCTACTGACTTTAAACAGTTCTCTGTGTCCCCAAGGAGCTCTTTTAGCAGATATACACTGTCAGGAAGCTGTGAAAGAGGCTGGAATCGTGCATCATCAGCACTAATGTGTGCTCATCTGTTGAATTGTCTTAATCTGGTTTAATTCTTACTGAACACTGTAAAGAAAAGAGAGAGAGAGAGAAAGCTTAAAATTTCAAGGAAAGATGTTAAATTTGATAGAGGGAATGCTTTTTAAAGGGTTCAAGTGGTGCAGCCCAATGCCCAAAATCGGAGGGGGTCTCAAAAGAATAAAATTAAAATTTCAAAGGAAAACGAAATACCTCTTTTTTCCCAAAGGAAAAAAAAAAAAAAAAAAGCATTTTTAAATGGGATCTGTTTAAAACTTGCCCTCAGAATTCGGCAACGTTTGATGGAATTCGTGAGGGCTGCCCCCCCCCTTCCCTCAGGACGGAAAGCGCCTCAGCGGAATGAACACGACGACCTCCAATACTGAAAACTGCTAACAACAAAAACAAAACAAAACAAAAGTTAAACCAGCTTCTAAACAACTCCACTTCTCCCTTCAAAGCAAACGAAATAGACTAAACCATCGAAGGCGCCGAGTGCCATTACCGAATCCCCGGCTCCCGCCCCTCAGCGCCGGCCGGCCCTCAGGCGCGCGCGTGCCCTGGTTGCCACAGCGCCAGCTCTTTGCGTACGCCCCTCTTCGTGAATAGCGACTAACGCCGCAGGGCAGGGTCCGGCCGTGCGTCACCAGCGTGAGCACCGCGTTTGGCAGAGCCCGCGCTGAGGGACTTGCGTCAGTGGCGTAGTTAGCAGCGGGGCGCGGGGCGGGTGGGGGCTGAGGCGCGGCCTCTGAGGGGACCCGTGAGGGGACGGCGATGCTTCCTTGAGGTCCCGGAGTGGCGGCCGTTCCACTTCGGTTTGCTGCTGAAATATGGAGTATCTTTCCTTGCCCCCTGTTTTCAAAGTAATTTTACTTGAACAAAATCGAGGAAAATTCAGAGCGAGCAAAATGGTGGTCGAGTTAGGGGCAGAAATGCAGCAGACGAGTGCCTTGGGGTACAAGGGCTGAAGGGAGGGGAGTAGTTTTGGGCTGTTTTCTTTCCTTCTCCAGAATGTCTCTATGAGCAGCTAGAATGTGTAGTGATGATTTCCATTATTACTTAGTTTCACAGAACTGTTCAGAGGAAGGTACACGGGAAGAACGGATCTTTGCAATGTTGTGGCACAATTTAAGGGTGTTCTGGATTGTCAGATGTTATCTGGCATCAGGAAAAAGCTCTGAACAGCTTGTGCTATAAAAGGATAGTGCAGATAGTGAAGTCGTTGAGATGTTTTTCATTATGTCTGAGTAACATTTGTAATAATCAAAGTTCTTAAAAAGGATTTTACAAATCCAAAGTAATTCTGATCAGCCGGATTAAAATGCATTACAGGAATAGGTTCTGGTTTGTTGATCTTCAAAATCCATAAAAGAAAAATTGCTACTTTAAAAAGTATTTTCTGGAAAGGATTCATTTTTCTGCAACATTTTAGAGCTGATTATTTACCTTGCAGGTGATTTACCTGAATTAGATTAGACTTCCACTAACTATGTACTTGTAAAAGTTCACCTGATTTCCATGGGAAAAGCATGAACTTTTCTCAGCGTAGAAAGAGCAGGACCGAATCAGACTTGTCCCTCAGTGTTACCTCTGATTTTGGTGGGAGTTGTTCTGTCTTGTCCTTCACCTCAGCTTGGAATACCGATTTTTTTAGTGGTCATGACATTAACTTATTTTATGTATGCCTTCTGAATGCCTTCCTCACATCTTTTGACTATCCACAGAACCTGCTGGCGCTACTGTTCTTGCAATGTTGAGATAAGGAGGGTTGTGATGCCATGGAGACACTGTGTTCCCAGCCCTCCCTGGTGACTGAATCCCCTTTCAGCTCTTTAAGAAGGGAAAATATGGATAATTCTCAGTATTTTTAGCAGCTTCTTATTTCTTAAAATATTTTCCTGTAATAGTGTGTCTTATTTGTTGATATGGTAAATTGGGATATGCTTATGTGTTGCACACTTATGTGTGTGAGATTTAGATTAAATACATTAAGTGTAAGTGAAGATGGCCACTCAATTTTGAAATATATCTGTGAGCTTGCCTTGTTGCCTCCTGTACTTTGCATTCACTGAGGTTGTTGAACTGGGGTTTTTGTAGCTTTGTTTCCTCTGGGAGAGGAGCAGTGAGTCAGTCTACATACACAACAGGTGTTTACCATTCTTAGGAGGTGTTGAACTACTACAACTAGAACATGCAGAAAGCAAGTTAGTGTTTGAAACTCTTACCAACCCATGGAGTTGTTGTTTTCAGAACGATACTATTAGTTCTGACATTGATTAAGACATTAATGTTGCCATAAATTCATTCAAGCTGGCCAGAAGGGAAGGAGCACACTATAACAAGGGTCTAGATCTCTCAGGTTCTCTATGGTCACAAGTAGCCTAAGCAGAGCTCTCCATATGGTAAGAGATAAATACTGTGATGTCACCTTCTTTGGTGAATGACCCATCAGCTACAAATCCGGGTTCTTTGTGGGGAAGTGGCTGTCTTGCTATGGTTGAGATCATATTCCTGCCAGAAGTGATTTAAAAGCAATTCCTCATGGAAGAGAATAAAATATTAATTCTAAGTAGTGGACTGGCAATTTTCTTAAACATTATTCTTTATGTGCGTTTGTAAAACACAACTGTAAGGTTTTTTCCTCTGTACTTGCTCACTGTATAAAATTACTGGTCTGCTTTGATGTGCCCTTTAACCATTTTAGTCTGCTGCAAAAGTTGGAGAGGCTTGTCTCCTGGTTCAAAGCCTCTTCCAGCTTTATCAAAATATGACTGTTGGAATTGGAGAGCTTTATTTTCTCCTGAAAGTTGAAAATTTAAATCCTAATAAAATACATAGCAAAATTTTTTAGCATCCTAAGTTGCACTCTGCTTTTCTAAATAATGTCTAAATTAATGAGTTAATTGACAATTCTTTGGTAATGCAAAAGAGCTGCATAATTTCTTATTCCTTGTCTTTGGTGTTTTGTGCATTAGAAAGCAAGATTATTAATGAGTAGAAAGACATTTATATAATTCAGAATGTCTCATTAGTGGCATGCGCATCCTGACTTTAAAGCTGAGATGAAATCAAGTTGAAGTGCTGAAAAAATCCCCTGGGAGTTTCTTCATAATTGCTGCTATGCTTAATATTAGCACTGTAATAGTTCCCCACTCCATTAGTTCCTTGTCTAATAGGTGAATCCTGTTCTTTGTACCCATATGTACAGCGATCTTTGAAGAAAATGGAACTGTTTCCCTGTCCAGGATTAGGGACCATTTGGTTTATTGAGGAGCAGTTTCTGATCAGAGGAGTTTGTATGACCACTAAAATGTTTGTTGTTTTAAAACCACGGCTCTTTGTGTAGTTCAATTACTCCAAGTCCGCCTTCCCGGTCTGTGGAAGAAGGGGAGGAAGGGAACTGTTGCAAACCTGTTGCTATGGCCACCTAGCAGGGGCTGAGCTGCTTGTGTGGCTGTAATCCTGCTGCATCAGCTGCTGCTCGGTGAGTCCTTCCTTACACTTTGCTACGTGATGAAAATGCTCCCATTAGAAATGTTCTTTTGAATGCCAGTAAGAAATCGGTACCCTAATAAGGGTCCCCTCCCCCAGCAACCCACGAGGTTTCCTTACATAACCAAATTGATATATCTCTCAGGTGAGACATCTGAATGCATTTGTGATTTTCATGTGAACATTATTCGTTTTCCATGTCAGACGGGTTTCATTCTTTCTGAGCTGATCTTGGATGAAAGTTTGATGTTGTGCCAAGAAATGCGGCAGCTTCATCTTTCCTCCCTTCTTCTTCTGACCACATGAAATCTGGGATCCCCTAACATTAATGCACTTAGTGCAGAGGCATTTGAAACAATGATGAGAAAAATTTTTAAATTAAACACTGCAAAATCCTTTGAGGGCTAAACTGCAAGCAAGGGTTGAAATAAGTGAACAATTCTCTGCCCTCCCAGGGAATTAGAGTTGGTGCCTTGTAGTTTCAGAAGGCCACTGTTTGCTACTATGCACACTGAGGTGGTCATTTTTACATGAGAAACAGCTTTCCTTCTATGCAAACTGAACTGCTAGTTGTACCAAAAAGAAAAAAGGAAAAAAAGTTGACAAGTCTGCAAGAACTTGGTTAGTTTTTATAATGTTGTTCCTGTATTGAGGTAATTCCTGAATACTGTGTTTCTCTTTACATATTTTCAGTCCTGTAGAATTTAACTGAACTTGGAGGATGAAGTCCAGCCTAATGCATTTGGTTCCACCAGTGAATAGAGAAAGAATAATCTCCAAGTTTCCCAAGGTAAGCATTTTTTATCTGTTTGGTCACAGTATGTAGCCCCTGCCACACTGATCTATCTTTCCATTGTGCTAATATGGTATTTTTATTTAATTTAATATATACTTGTTGTCTTCTGTTAAAATTACAAATTATTTAAGATTCTTTCAAAGTTTAATGTGACCTCATAGTTCCATCCAATGCTGATCTCTTTAATAATAATAATAATCCTCATTCTTGATAACCTTTAAAAAAAGTGACTCTTGCTACAGTAGTACAATATTTATATTTTTTTCAGCAAAACAGTAATAATTACATGCTTAAGGAGCTCCAACACTGAGGGCAAAGAGGAACCATAGCTGACATTAAGTTTGCCAAAAAATATAATTAGGAGGCTTTGGTTAAAGAATTTGAGGCAATTTTAATTTTCTGTTTGTACAAGAACCTTAGTCATACAGTAGATCAAATGTAGTAGGCACTGTAGAAACACAGACAAAATACCTTTGATGTCCCCAAAGACTTTTGAATTTGAAGTATAATAGAACAGTTAAAGACAGGGAAAGGCAAGGAATTACCACTTGTTTTTTTCAGTTGTTCAAAAGATCCTTTTAAGGGAGTTCACTTTTTTCCCATTCTTGATCTCAGCCACATATTTTGCTTTTAATTTTATGAAAAATACCACAAGTATTTTAAGCAAATGCAAAGTAAAATATATTTTCCTAATTTTTAACTAATCCCCAGTTAAAGGGCTAGTAATAAAAACAGTGCTTCACACATACAAAAGATTGAAAAATTTCATGGTAATAACGACTTGCTGGTGATGTGCTCCCTTCCATGCTTGTCTTGTGTGTCTTAGATTACTGAGATAATTGGAGGTACTTACTGTTGTACAGAATGATGAGCAAATGGATTTGGCCATGGGTGCTTAGGCAGTGCTGGACACTGACACTCAGAAAGGTGCTCAAAGGATGGTGTTGTCCCAAGGAGTTTTTACAAACCCAGCTCTGGGGAAACCTTGCTGCCTTCTAACCCAACCTACCCCTTTTCTTATGCCAGGATAACTCTGTTCTTGATAAATCCTGTGAAAAATAATTTTATTTGTTTTTCTTTGCCAATTTGACTTCTTGCCATGTAGCTATCACCCAGTTTGTCCCAGCAGCCAATCTCTCTTTTCAGTGGTACACGCCTGAAGCCTGTCTGCAGTTTAAAGAGCATTTCCATGCACAGGTCAGAACTGCTTGTCAGCAGAGCACTGGAACAGCTGGGTAAGTTTGTAATAACCCAGGTATGCAAGGAAGAAAGTATTTTAAGCTCTTTAGAGCTTCCTTTCTTCATTGGCTTCTCCCCCCTCATTCCTCGTGTTCCTCACTCCAATATGTTTCAAGGCAACTAAGCCCCTGCACGAGGCAATTCACTTACCTGTTCCACAGTACACAAATCGAGTGCCTCTTCTTCTTCTGGGATAGGTGGCTTTGAAAAACAGGTGTAGTAGTTTAGAAACGAAAAGGTTTTTAGCACCCTTTAAGTAAACACTTAGTTCAAAAGATCTAACAGATTCAGTCTTGCTGTGTTCTCTGTAGGTGTTCCAAAGGAACAGTTAATAAAGGCTTTGTAGGGATATAAAGGCAGCAGTTCTAAGTTTCTTTAAAGATCTAGGAATCTGGTTTTAATCTTTTTGAAGCATACATGCTGAGAAGTTCTCTTACATGGTTCCTCAAAACAGGAGCAAAATTCTGGTAAATATATAACATTTAAAAATCAAAATAAACTGGCTTATGCTCTACTAATAATCTTGAAGTTGTTTCCCCCCCATTATCTCTCCCAGAGCTGTTACTATTACTGATTTAATCTCTGAAGCAAGGCAAAAAAGCTAAACTGTGTTGAAATCATCACTATTCAGTTAAAATAAATAGCTGTACATTTTACTGATAAATGCTTCTGGTTTCAGTGTGAAAGATCCTCCATAAAGTGGAGCTCCTATGAATACTGACAATTAGCTCACTATTCCTCCAGCTCTAGAGTTGCTGACATGAGACTTGTCATGATATCCATCTTTAAATGCAATTTTTTATTCATTTCACTAGGGAGTCTTGCTAAAAAAATACTTTTTAAGCCAAAATATGTCACCCTGGGAGACATCAGTGACTTTATTCCTTTTTTAGAAACATAGTCACAGTCGTAGTTTCATGTAAATTTGTTACAAGTGTCTGGACAATTTTTCAAGTAAGGCATGCCTTATTGAATTGAGGTATTTTTTCCTTCCATTTCCAAGATGTATTTGTTTGGGATTTTTATTATTAGTATTTTTTTAAATTTCTATAGTAAACCAACTCTATGTAATTTATTCTGGAAACAGAGTATAACTATAAAGCTATATGTTTTGTCTTTGTGAATAGAATGAACTATTTTTCTGTCACTGCTTTCTAGGTATGATTATTATTTGGTCATTTAGGTAATTTTTGGTGGTATGGGGGTAGGAAGGGCAGCCAGAGTGTTTTGTACAGTACTTGTAAAGCTTAACAGGAATAACCATTATCTTCCTTTTCTATTATCCCAACTAATAAAATATTTCTTTGTCCTTTGGAAAGCTAGTCTGAAAAATTCAGTAGCTAATGGCTGTATTTAATGCTCTCCTGATAGTCCATAACTGTGTTAAATGGTCTGATCTAGGGAGTTTTTTTCCCCAGTAGGAATTAATGGAACACACACCTCTAAACCATCTCTTACTCTTTGGCTTTTCCCTTAAGGTTGTTGATTTCATTCAGTATTTTCACAGTAACAATAATCAGGAGCACAGGAGCCTGTGGTCACCCAGTTAATGTTGACTGGCACATAAATATTTATTTTTATTTTTTTTTAAATATTAGTCATGCAGTTTACCATTCAATTTTTCAGCTGTTTAGAATCGATAACTTGGAATCAGCATCACATGGAAGTTGATGTAACCAGAAATAGTATTCAATAGAAGATTAACTCCTTTGTTAAAAAGCCATTTTTTGATATAAAAGAACATTAAGCCTCTTAAGCCATTTTTGTAGCATGTGCACAGGAGATGTCAATCCAAGTTTAGGTCAACAAGTAAACCCTAATTCACTTATCCACCTGGATCTCCTAAAAGAGACACAGTTTCAATTTTAAGAATGCAGGCTGAGTCACCTAAAGCCCATCTGCTGTGTCCTGTGGGAGGACCTAGAGCAAAGAGGATTATTTGCATGAAGCCAGGTTCAGATTAATATTATTCCAGATAGTCAGAAAATGTATTGTCTCTAACCCTGTGGGTTGTTTTTCCCAGAGGCATGTTCTGCAGTGGGTTCTTTTATTATCAGCAATTTCTTATTTCTGCACTTAGGACTTAATTTGTACTATTAAAGTCAATGAGAAACTTGAGATAAATTGGAATGCAAAGGATGCAGATACACTATGGTCTTATGTGTAAACTTATGTAAAATTATGCCAAATGCATATACTTGTTGTCAAAGCAATTTTAATAGAATAAAATTTGTTCTACTGAATTGAAATTAAGAAAAAAAAAAATAAACAGAATAAGAAGTGGACTATTTCTGCTCCAGAAGGGTTTGGGTTTTTGGTGGCTTTCTTTCTTGCAGTTTAAGACTTGGATCGTGCAGCACAGTGGCACGTAGATAAACTGAAGTCACAGGTATATGTGCTCCTGACTTGCAATTTAAAGATCTAAATCAGAATTTTTAGAAGGAGACTGTTGAAATTACTACTAAAACTATGTCATATTTTCAAATATTTATAACAGGCTGAAAATATCCAAAGTGGTTGTGGTAGGAGACCTGTATGTTGGGAAAACCAGTCTTATCAACAGGTACAGTATAGCTCAGCTGATGGCTTGATTCTCCTCTTTCTCATGTAAATGTTATAACATTTCCATTTTTGGCTTTAGAGCAGTTCTTCATGGTTCTGGTTTTAACCTGAATCAGTACTTTGTGGTTTTGTTATTAAATGAAGACAAAATGAAGTCAAGAGTATGAGACAATCTTGATACATCAACACAGAAAGTTGTGCTCTAGCACTTCAATCAGTATATGTTACATTCTGAGGTATTTTTATCCAGTCAAGTATGACACAGTGTTTTCTTAAGGAATTCAGTCTAAAGGCTAAACAATTGGAAAAAAAATTCCAGTGTCTGAGTCTTGATTTCCTTTGGGTCATTATTTATGACCCAAAAGATATTCCCTTGTAACTAAAACTAGAAGATACTGTACCTCCCTTAAGAACCCAAAGATGTTTTATTCTGAGTCTCATTCTATCCTGAGAGCTTACTAGATATATGTGCTTTCTAGTTTGTTAAACAGTATCTCCTTTTAATTAGTGTCTTGATGTTTTTATGTCTGCTTCTACATTATATAGAAAATCCACAGTTAGTTTTCCCTTTTCTTCCTAATTTACCCAAAACAGTGTTAGTTTTGCAGTTATTTGTAATTGTCTACTAGTATTTCATCCCCTTTTTTTTTTTAATTGCAGATTTTGTAAAGATAAATTTGACCGAGACTACAAGGCAACCATTGGAGTAGATTTTGAGACTGAACGTTTTGAGATAATTGGAATGCCATATAACCTCCAGATGTGAGTTGAAAGAGCATGGTTAAGCATTGCACAGAGTACAGTCTCAGCAGAGCTTGAATTGCTGCAGGCTGTAGTGGAATAAAGATTTTAAATATATAATACAATTGCACAAATAATAATGTGATCTGAAGAAAAGATTCTGTCTCTGGACTTGCTGTTTTAGTAGAAATTTTACTCTTGGATTTCTCATCGCTAAAACATATTAGAAACTTGTCAGAGAAAATTAATCCTGGATGTCTTGCATTATTTCAGTGGAGTCTTTTATTTCTGTCTTTTTTTACACAACATTCATGAAAGAGACCTGGAAGCTTTTGCCACAGCTTTGTCCAGTGCTAGTGTAACCCCAGTCTGTGGTTTGAGTTTAGTAGAGAAATGAGCGCTGAACTTGGCTTTACGGGGGGTTTTATTCCTGCAGTCATTGAAATTAATGTTAAGGTTTCCAGTGATTTTAACATCTCTTAATTAGCAATTAATTATTTATCTCTAAATCATAGAAAGACTGGAGTGGTTTTATTACAATGTGAACCTAATAGCTTTGATTTTCAACTTTGTTTGTCAGACTTGTGGGAATCCTTCCCTTCTTCCACCTGCTTTGGGTCTGTGCAGTGGTGTCCCTTTGTGTTTCTGGTGGCAAACAATGTTGTCCTGTAGAGGGCATTATGGAATCATTTGTAGTGTGACCTAGAGCAGAAATACAATGCTTTGCATGAGATATTTTAGTGCATGAATCTTAAAAACCTTTTTACTTAGGAACATTTTTTTTCTGGTGAGTTCACTGATGTAAATAGATGGCTTGTGGTATTGAAAAATACTTAAAAATCCATTTCCCAGTGATTTCACTGCAATTGTGTTTGGGAAGTTCTGCCAGGTGTTATCCTTTTGGAACTTGAGTCCCCCTAAAAATTTAGACTCATGCATCAGCATTTTGCAAGCTGAAGCAATAAGGTCAGGTTGCATTATCTACAAAGTCTTCAGAATCTGGGTAGAACATTTCCATATGATAAGCACTAGTGCCCCCTCTTGCTGAGAGATTTCCATACAAGAGATATTTGCAAGTATCTGTGACTGGCAGTACAAGGCTAAAACAAAACCCAAACCTCTGTAGTGCTGAAGTAGCTGAAGGCACTGCATATCGTGTTCATTAATAAGAAGGACATTCTTGATTTTATTTAATGGTGTCATTAGTACCTGGCAGACTGAGCTGCAGGTCTCTAATTTGTAGTGTAGGAACAGATATCTTATCTAGCAGTTGCAAGATTCTAACATGGGCTAATACATGACTTAGCTAGTATTAGCAGAGAAAATTTACAAAACTAGATGTCCCTAGAAATGCATGCAAATTACACAGGTGAAAAAATAAATGTTTTAAGGGAATGATATTACCATGCAGAATACAAATACTTGAATTGTCTCCAAAATTGTGAGTATTTTTTAAGAAAAGGTAAAAATGATGTTTGCATGTCTTCATTGACTAATAGAGCTTTACTGTATTTCTATCAGTAGTTAATGAATAACATGTTCCAGATGGTGACACTTCTCTGGTATCACATTCTTCTCCGCCTTGTACCAGTCTGCTGCTTCATTAACATGTTTACTCAGGTTACCCTGGGTTTCATTAACCTGAAATTTCTTTTTTCCCCCCATTGCACAGATGGGACACAGCAGGTCAGGAGAAGTTCAAGTGCATTGCGTCTGCTTACTACCGAGGAGCAGAGGGTGAGAACAATATTAATTTGATCCTGTGTTTGTTGGAAGGTTGCATTTTGTACAGCAACATATATCCACATATGCTGCTTGGGAAGGTACCTACAGACACAGTGTGGCGGAATGGATTGTTCATTATTGCAGGGAAGAAGGGATGAAGGAGTTCATGACTTGATGTGTTGTCACATCTACAAGCTCTGAGTGTTCTGATGATGCAGTGATAGAAAGTGGCACTTGTGACTAGGGGGAAAAGAATTTGAGGTTAGGTGAGATTAGTGCTGGAGTTGGAAGTGGATATTTCTGCCTTTCCCTTTGTAAGAGACAATCCTGTGGGAATTAGTGGTCCCAAAATGAAAGGGTTGATAGCACTGTAGACTGCAGACTATAGATATAATATTGAAGACTGAGGACTTAGGTCTTATTGGGTGCTAAAAAAAGAAAAGGAATGAGCAAATGGATAGTCTTTCATCTCCTATGTGTTAAATCTGTTCTTACACCTTATACATAAACATTCTCTCTGTTTAACAAGATGGGTTGGAGAGACTTCTGATACACTTTCTAATTTAATTTCTTTTTTTTCTGTTCTTGTCTTTTATTGCAGTTATAATAACAGTGTTTGATCTGGCTGATATCCAAACTTTGGATCACACCAAGTAAGTTTCTGCATTTTGGCTTATCTTTTAAAGGTTTTTACAGCAGGTTTAATTGCCTTCCATATGTAGGTGTTAACTTGCTGGATCATGAGTGTATTTTCTCTTGAGCTAAGAAATTAAAAATGACAGTCACTAGTTTGGATTACATATTGAGGGATTTTTCTGAAGAAGATGCAGGACATAAATTTGAATTGCTTACACTTGACTTCCTTTAAAGTTAGTGCAGAGAGAGAGGCACTTCAGTAAAAGCTTGATCCTTCTGAAGCTAGACATGCAGGAAGAGATGAAGTGCAGCCCAAAAGCCTTTTTTTTTTTTTTCTTTTTACTTCATTTGCTATAAATAGGATAACAGGCTAGAATCTAATGTAAATGATAAAACAGATGAGATGCATCTCATGCATAATGTGTCATGAGCTTTTCATTTTTTAGGTGCACTGTTATCCCAACATTTTCTTTATCTAGTTTCTGTGATTCTGATGGAAGACAGGCTGTCAAAAAGAGGAGAGAAAATTAAAAACTCCAAGTATGTGTACATATAGCTAAACTTCCTAAACTTAGTTCAGATTCTTGTAATGCTTTGGTTACAACAACACACTAATTGTTATGAGTAAACTCATCCTGCTTTAGTGTAGGCTGCAAAACCCTGCATGGGTCTATGATCCACACTGCTGTCACAGCTCAGAGCATAGGTATTTCTAACATGATGTTGTGACTGTAATGCAGGTACAGACTTCTTTACAACCTGTACTCTGTCTTATTTGAATGTGTACTATGGTGCTTAACTCATTTACATAGGACTTTGTAAAATAATATATATATTAGTGTCTCTGCTTGGCTGAAAGTAATTGAAGCCTGTGAACCTGATTTCCCACACACGCACACACTGCCTTCCCTCCTTGACTTGTGTTGGATGACTCAAGAGAAACTTGATTGCCAGAGTAACAAGAATATAAAAGCTTGTGAGACAAGAATCATACAGCCTTCATAGGGAGCTGTTTTATAATGCTGAATAGATTATTTCACTCTTTATTCCCATTTGTATCTAACCTGCTGTGTGGTTCATACCTTTCCAGTTGCTTCTTGCTTTCTTATTCCTTATCTCACACCAAACTTCACCCTCTCCCTTTGAGAAATATCCTCTCTGGGTGCTAAAATGATTGTTGAATTTGTACTCTCCATGGGTATGATTTTTCCTTAGTTGGAGACATGCATTCAAAGGAGTTGGAAGAGCTACTGCTCTCTCTGTCTAGAAAAAAAGACTTGATACTCTCACATAAGTTCTTCCACTCACTTTTCTTGTGACCCTATTATCTGTCATCTTCTCCTGTACTCCTTGTTCCCTCTGACTGATTCTGTCATTTCTTTTTTGTATTTCAGACAGTGGCTAGAAGATGCATTGAGAGAGAATGAGCCAGATTCCAGCTTCATCTTTCTGGTTGGAACAAAAAAAGATTTGGTGGTGAGTAAACTGAGTGCAGATAAGGAAATAAGATTTTCCCTAGTTCCTCAAGTGATTTCCCTTGAAAATTGTACACAATGTCATTGAGATAAAGACCTTGAGTGAAAAACTTAAAAGGTAAATTGAACAGCACACTTGAAACCAATTAAGAAGAGGCTTTCTGAAAAAATGGTTAGTTAATGAAATATTTCTTGCATGGCATTCTTCAAGTATATATAAACATACACAGCGGTCTTGAAGGTTTTGTTGTTGTTCTGTAACTGTTCATAGGTTTTCTTCTTTCTCCCCATTTAAAATAACTGCAGTATGAGATTTAGAGCATTATATGTTTTTTTGGTTATGCCAGCAAGCCTGACATGCTGGATATGAATCCTAGAAATATGGAATTCTAATCTAGATACTCACAAGTGAGCATTAGAGTTCAGAGAGTTATTGGAAAAATAAGGTAAATTGGTTTTTAAAGGGATAATTGTGTTCATTTTTCAGGAACAGGGAAGGTTTCTTACTCAATTGAATATCACATAATTTTCAAACAAACAGGGTGAATGCAGTCTCTCTACAATTCTCAGTCCTGTGTTTGTCTTTTTGTAGAAAAAAGATTTTTAAAGCTTTGAAAACAAACTTGTTTCTTCTGTTACTTGTTGGTCCCACAACTCTTCTGCTGAGAATGATGGGGTGTCAAGGATTTAAAGACCATTAACCGGGCTGCTGACTTGATAGCTCTTTACCAGAGAATGTGTTAGATACAAGGGTCACTTGTTAACTCTCTGTTTAGTCTCAGCACTGTGGGAGCTGAGTGGAGACTTCCAATTAAAACCAGTACTAAATACTTCAATGTTCTTGTTGCAATTGCCTGATTGCTCAAGTCTAGGCAAGGTCACAAAGGCCACTGGAAAAACCAGAAGCATCACAGTGTGGGTGCTATGGCAGTGCCTCTGTGCTGTTACCAGCCCAGAAACACTTCTGTTCAAGTTGTTGCACATTGTTTGCCCAGTCAGATGCTGTGTGTGAAAGGACAGAGCTGGATGCCATCCGTTTTGCCAAGGAGATGCAGGCAGAATACTGGTCGGTTTCAGCCAAAACAGGTAAATTACTGCAAAGGATGTAAAGATAGTATAGCCACGAGGCCTGATGTTGGAGTGGGAGAAACTTATTATTCCCCCGTTGCCAGTTTCTTTGTTGTTGTTGTTGTTCTTGCATTTTGTTGCTATTAAGAAGTTCAGTCTTACTAATGACTGATTTTATTTCAACATTTGTATGTGTGCTTTCACTGTCGTGTTTACAGAAAGAAGTAATCAAGCTGCTTTGCAGTATCTGAGCATGTTTAATTCATAGATAGTTACATACACATGTGCACTTCTTACTCAACGTTTGCAGTGGAAGAAGATTACACCACAAAATTAATTCTCTCTGTTGCTGGCTAAAAATAAGGGTGCAGCAGAGGGTACAGTATTCCAGAGCAAGAAAATTAGAAATTCTTATTGCAGTGATCAGAATGGGAGACAGATTGTTGGAGAGGCCTGTTCTGTCCCAATATTGAGCAGTCAGCTGTTCACAGATGTGCTTGTTAGGCTTGATCATCTGTTGATGTGCCTTTATAAAAACACGTAATTTCTTTCTTGTTTCCTAGGAGAAAATGTCAAAGAATTCTTCTCCCGTGTTGCTGCCTTGGCCTTTGAACAGTCCATGATAAAGGAGCTGGAGAACACTCCTGGGCACAGGGCCCAGATTGGGGCAGGAAATCTCATCAGTATGTGGAGTTTTGCTTTTCGTGTGCATTTTCTTTGTTTATAGTCTGAAGGACTGGAAAGGTTTTTCAAGCCTTAGAGCCAGTTTCAAACACCTGCAAGCATATTTGTGTCATTGTCTGCCCAGGTTTTAGCCTACGGGAGTGACTGGGCCTGCATCCAGCTTTTGTTACCCTTATTATCAGATGGTAGCATTTCTTGTAAGTTGATTTTGTAACTTTTCTGTTTCCACAGAAGTAGAGAACATTATGGAAGTTCCAGAAGACAAAACTCAAGTCAGCCTGAGTTGCTGCTAACTGTCAGCTGTTTCTGCAAGTGCCACACTTCTCTGCAACAATGCTCTCAAACCAGAACTAGAGAGCTTTAATTTTAGAAATGAGGGAGGAAAAACTTACCCAAACTTTCTTGCTCAGAGTTCCCTTGCTGCTGCAGGCTCCCTGTGCAGGGTGGTACAATTGTTATGTAAACCTTTCTTTGTGTAGTTGAAACATAACATCCTTGTCTTAGTGCAAGAAGACTTTGCCAGTGCCATGGGCTCACCTATCTGCCAGAAAGGCTTGTAGTCAAAAATTATGTCATTTTAGTGTGCTGTTTTTTGATAATTCTCCAGAAATCTTAGCTAGTGAAGTGGCATTCTCATGGGAGCAGGAAACAAGTGGCAGTTCAGAATGAAGGGTGACATCAATATGGTTTTGTCTTTTAAAATCATCGTGTAGAATAATTCTGATTTGCTTTTATGCATTCCAAGTATTTTAAAACTAATTGAAAACAAATCTTTTTAAGTATCAGGTTGGAAGTACACAAATGCAGACTGCATAGTTTCCACTGTGGTTTCTCTATCCAGGAAAAATGTGTATTGCTTTTCAATTTCCACTTGAGAATCAGAGCCCAGTATTAAATATTTCCAAAGAAGTCCAGGTAGGAACTTGGTTGTTTTAACACAGCTGCCTAATATTTTGAAAACGTTGCCAGATAAGAATGCTATTCTTTTCCATTCTCTTGAATAAGAAAGAATGGTCACACAGGTGCATAATATGGAAGACATATTATTTACCTCTAATTTTTCCAATATCTCTCTGAACTGTAATGCTCTGTTGTATCTAGCTTAGAATTCCATATTTCTAGGATTCATATCCAGCATTTTAGGCTTGCTGACATAAAAAAAAAATTTAAAAAATTATGTATACAGTGCTCTAAATTTAATACTGCAATTATTTTAAATGGAGAGAAAGAAGAAAACGTATGAAGAATTACAAGGTACAGTTTCTTGAGATATTTATCCAATCATTGCAGAAGCAACATTACCTTTAAAAATAATTATAAGACTCAGATTTGAGCTGCTGAAAAATAAAGACATTTGTTAATAAAGAAATGCATCAATCTGAAAATATTCTGAATTTTCTGCCATTTTCCTCACTTTGATAAGAAATAGGAAAAAGTGGAAAAAAGATAGCTTGAACGTGCTTTTTATTACTTTTTCCTTTTGACGTAAGTTAGAGCAGCTTCCTAGAATATGATGAATAGAGATCTAGGAGCTCTGCGTCTTTTTTTATCAGACAATCTTCATTTTGGCAATTGTGCTGCCTGCTGGCAAGGACACAAATGTAGCATTTGGTGGAAAAAATGAATCTGTGAGGGTACAAAAGGAGCTCTTTATCCAAACGTGTAATATTTCAACCTGATGGTGTTCTATGCAGTTGTGCAGTTCCAGAGTCTGTTTCACAAAGGAGGTGAATTTACACTGTGCTTGTAGCACCTGCTGTGCTGGGTGGGCAGTGTGGCCATGGCCTTTAAAAGTTTCCTGAGAGTGGAGATGGTTCACTCTGCTGCAGCAAATCAGGTTAGCTGGGCTTCAGTGCTGACATGAGAGACAGTGTTTACACTGCAAAATGACTCAGGAACAAATCTAAGAAAAGATCTCATTTTGGGGTTTTTTCTCACCAAGAAATATATCTCCTTAGGGTTTCTTCTGTTGCTGAGCTCAATTATTGTAATAATTACGAAGTCACAGAGATACAGTCTCTTCAACAACACGATCATGTTGCCTGGAAAATCAACTGGGACAGTTTTTTCCTTGGTATTCAGCACATTGCACGATGTCATTACTGTTTTGTATCATCTGGAGCTCCAAAAACTTCACATACAAATGCAATACTCTGTCAGTCATCAGTTAACATGGGACAATAGCCTGAGTCTGTTTATTAAATGATGGGTGCTTTGAGACTGGGTGTTTTTTGGTTGGTGGTTTGTTGGGTTTTTTATGTGTTTGTGTTTTTTTTGCTTGCTTGCTTGGTTTTAAGGGTGTTTTTAGCACCACTGAAACCTCCCCTGCAAAGAAATCCATATTACTAATTTAACATCTAAAATTAATCTTGGATCTTGTTGCAAACGACAAGTTGCTTAGGAAAGCACAAAGGAAACTAACTGTAGAAAATAAATATAAATTTCTGAGTTCTATCTGGCCAATGGTTTATCTCTGTAAATCCATTCTATCAGCAACTTCATTTACTTTGAAAAAGCTTTAATATTTTGGAAAACAGTGTTGAAAAAGCTTTATTAACTCTAACTGTAGGTAAGCTAAACCACAATTTCTATACCAGTTGAAATCCCCCAGTAATCATGGCAACAGTCAGCTTCAGCTTCCTCGTAGAATTTGCAGTAAAGAAATTGAAGTAAACTTTGGAGTCAGTCTGAAGCAAAGGTAAAGAGCAATTGTAGCAATCCATTTCCCAAAAGAAATACTAAAGTTGTGCTGTTTCTTGCCTTTAATAAGTAAAAGCTAATGTGTTCAGGGATTGTGGATGCATTTGTGCTGAGCAAACCCACTGGTAATCGGTCAAAATGCATTTAAGAAAGCCACCTGACAAAATTAATTTCTTACTATAAAAGCCTGCTCTTTTAATTTTTAATGGTGTTATTTCACCTTTTGAGTTATTATTTGACACCTAAAGTATTATTGTTTATATTTACAGAGGTCATGGGATTCAGAACTTTCTGAATCCTGCTGGTTCCCAGCTCAGGTTTACATTGTGGCGGAACTGGAGTCCATTCTCCATGAATAAATCTGTCCCCCTCTGTGTGTTTTCAGCTTTCCATCAAGAGTTAGAGGTAGTTCTAATGTAATACACTGGTGAGTGAATGCTCTGAACACTCTGTATGACATCTCTGAGCACGTAAATTAAAATAAATAATGTTTGGCAAGTTGTAGGAGAATGTGTATTTATTAGTGATATATATAAATATATATATTTAGTGGTGGAGAGAGCTGATCACTTTCCTGTATTTTTGGCCTGAAAGTTGTTATCACAGTGAGAAATTGCCATTGTCTGAATTCAGAGAGGAGAGATCCTTTTTTTCCCCTGGGTTCATAGCACGAGTAAGACCGGATGGGACTTCCCAAGGCCTGTCAGCTTTGTCAAACTCTACCAAGAGTGCTGCTTTGTGTTAACAAAAATACAATTTTTTAGTTTCACCACCTATTAATCAGAAACCATGTTTTATTTCTCATTTTAAAAGCTCGGCTTATGTCCTACAGTTTTTTTGTCGTTGTTTGTTTGTTTTTGTCCTTACAAAACCGGCGGTTCATTCGCGTGGGATGATGCTGAAGAACAGCTCTCGAGTGACAGCTCGAGAGCTTTACCCAGAGCCAAGCGGCATCTCTTCCCACAAGAGGGAGCCCGGCGGTCACTGCAGGATCAGATCCGTGCCGGCTCGGAAGCGCTGCGCGATCTCTCGCCGGCCAGCAGAGGGGATGTGCCGGGCAGCCCGGCCCCAATTTACCCCTCATCGCAGGAATTCTCAGTCTCAAATCATAGGTATGTGTCTGCCACCGTAGTCTTAAAGAAATTTTGTATCCAATTAAAATACTACTCTGTTCAATGCGTAAAGTATCAGAAAAAAATTCAGAGAACACTTCAATTCCCAGTGGAATTTTGAGGGTTGTGCTACCCCAGTACATAAAGACGATGTATTATTCACTGGTAAGTGTACACACAGAAATCTCTCATCTGACTCATCAGAATTCTTCCTCCCTCCAGAAAGGACACAAATGTCAGAAAAGAAATAGAAACTGCTCTATAAATCAGAATGGTGAGCCTTCAGTAAAAGTTCTGTATGAATTCAGAACATATCCCAGTGATGTCACATACCTGCCATTGTTTATAACCATGCCAGTACAATCTTATTATTCCTAGAAATACATTGCATGTCAGATTTTTGTTGGTCAAACTACCACTAAGCAAACAAATAGTATCAATAGAGAAAAGGCAATTTATTTATTTCTGTGACAGATTGAGAAGTCTTGAAAAATTTATAGAGTTATTTATTAAACACATAGGTTTTACTATGATTTAGGTCATAATCTGTTTTCCATATAGGTTGACCAATGCCTGTTATGTGTTAAAAGCTGAGGAAACAAGTGCAGGAAAAGCAGTTAAAGCCAGGAAACAAAAACCAGGAGGGATGAACTATGTAAAAGTGAATACATGAGTTTGTGATATAGCTGAAAATACCCCAAAATATTTTGATTTTCATATAAAAGAGCATGGAGAGGAAAACTGTTTAATGGATTTTGAAACAGTGCATATCTCAAAGGTAAGAGAGCTACTCCTGTGGAGTTGTGCTTTTCATTCTCATGGGATTTTATTAGTTCTTGTCAGGGCCATATCCTACTCTCTTTTCTAGTAAAATGTACCAGAAAAGATATGCTTCACCACAAACATGAAAGAAACAGTTTTATGGGGGATATGAGGGGTACGTATCACCTTTTCCTGTCCTCCAAACAGGCAAGATGGAACTTCAGTTGTATTTTTTTACCCTATTTTCAGAGGATGAATTAATAGACGAAAAGGACCTTAAGATAATACCTTAAGAAGGGTGAAGGAGGGAGTGTGATAGTGTGATTTCAGGAGGAAATTAATACCCAGCAGCCAGAATTCTGTTGAAATAATTTGCCACTCTTCACCCAGAGGTGAAATGTGGGACTGAGTTGCTGGGGCTAAATAATATATAGGACAAAAGTGAGACTCGTGCCCAAACACAGCAGCCTTTATTGTCAGTATCAAGGGTTACTTTGGACGACCAGTTGCCCATCTCAGAAATCCAGCTTGTCATTTATTGGCAAAGAAGGTAGGATTGACGGAATGACAAGCCTGCTACTCACCAGCACTTACAGGAGTGGGGGAAAACGTGACCTTTGAAGGTGAGCTGCATCAGTGCCTGGGGGGGGAGAGCCTCGCTGTGAACACAAGCGAGAGCACAGAGACGTGCTGCTGTTTATACATAATATATGAGGGCACGGCTGTATGGACGGGAATGGATACCTCCCTATGCACACAGGGCTGTGGGCACGGCACGTTCTTAACCAGTTTTAGCCACGGCCGCGTCTGTTATGGTGTGATGCTGCCCAGGCCTGTGGCTGCAAGGGCGAGCGGGCGGGACCGCTCACGACTTTGCCTTTGTCTCACGGGCAGCCGTGAGGAAAGCGCTGGGCTCCCCCCACCCCCGCGGCTTCCCCCGGCCCGGCCGGCCCGGCTGCCCCTTTAAGAGGCCCCAGCGCCGTGTCAGTGCCTGCGCCGGGTCCTTCCCTCCCCTCCCCTTCCGCAGCGCCGCCGGAGCCGGGCCGCGATGGGCCGCCGTGGGCAGCGGGGGCCGCGCCGCCGGGGGCGCTCCCGCGGGGCCGCGGGGCGCTCGGGCAGCGCCGGGTAGCGGCGGAGCTCGGCCGGGACGCGGCGCCGCATCGCCGCCCCGCGCGGGCACCGTGTGCGCCCCGAGCGCAGCACAATAGCCGGGAGGAGGAGACAGGGGAAGGGGCAGGGGGAGAGGAGGAGAGAGAAAGAGAAAGCACAACACGGGGGCTGGCGAGCGAGCGCGGAGCGGAGGGCTCCGGAGCGTGGCCGCGCTGAGGACCGTGCCCAGGACGGCGGCGACAGGAGGTGGGTGGGGGGCGATATCTACCTTCCCTCCCCCGCCCCGAGCCCGCTCCTTTGTCCACGCGCTTTGAAGTGCTGGGGGATCGCCGGGGTGGGAGCATTGTTGTTCGCCAGCAAACGATCAGTCATGCTGGGGAGAGAGTAGCGAGTGTACGCGGGGCTGGGGCCGGCAGAAGCAGAAGCGGACGGGGAGGAGAGAGGATTGCGAGAGAGGATTGCTGCCTGCCTCCCAGTGCCCTGCATGGACCGCGAAAGAGACGCGCTGAGTTGACCCTGCCCGAGCTGTTTCTGCTTCTACATGTGAGATCCGGTTGGTTTTTTCTTTCCACCTCTTTCTCTCCAGCCTCCTTCTCGTGTTCTTCACTTACTCCCGTATGCAAAATGGTGGACCCTGTGGGGTTTGTAGAGGCTTGGAAAGCACAATTTGCAGACTCTGAGCCTCCTAAAATGGAGCTGAAATCTGTGGGAGACATTGAACAGGAACTGGAGATGTGCAAAGCATCTATCCGGAGACTGGAGATGGAGGTTAACAAGGAGAGGTTCCGCATGATTTACCTGCAGACTCTTCTGGCAAAGGAGAAAAAAAGCTATGATAGACAGAGATGGGGTTTTAAACGTGTTTCTCAGTTGCCTGAAGGGGGTGCAGAACAGCAGGTCCAGGACCTGCATCACCAATCTGCTGACCAAGATGAATATGAAAAAAGCAAGTCACATCATGGGGAGGAAAAGTTTAAACCCAGGATACCCTCTATGCGGAAGCTGTCTACCCAGAGTGATGGGTCAGACCTGTCACCTTTGGACAGCCCCCACCATGGAGAAGGAGAGCAGGACAGGTGTAAGTACTACGGTGAGGAGAAACTGAAGAGAGTTGTGGAAGACATGGAGAATCGCTGTGATACAGATGGCTCTCCTTCAAAACACAGATCAGCTTCCACCCGCAGACTGGTGGGATCTGCTGAGAAGGAGGGGTCATTTGAACCTAAGGAGAGAGGGAACAGCACCAGTGTGGCAGCCCTAAGGTCCAATTTTGAGAGAATGAAAAAGGTTAATTCGCATTCTTCTGGAGATAACAAGGATGTTGTTGAAAAGCCCTTTTATGTGAACATGGAGTATCATCATGAGAAGGGTTTAGTAAAGGTCAACGATAAAGATGTTTCTGATAAAATAAGTTCCCTTGGTAGCCAAGCCATGCAAATGGAACGCAAAAAGTCTTTGCACTCCCTCCCTTCTAACATGGTACCCAGCTTCAGCGAGTTCCAGAGGCCTGCCTACAGGGGAAGGTCCTCAGAGAGCAGCTTTGGCTATGATGGAGAATATGAGGATGCTGAACTGAACCCCAAGTTTCTTAAAGATAACCTGATTAATGCTAATGGCAGCAACCGCTCACCTTGGCAGCCCATGGACTTTCAGCCGTATCAGAGTATCTACGTTGGTGGAATGATGGGGGAAGGAGAAGGAAAAGGACCTATTCTGCGAAATCAGGGCCAGCCTGACCAGGAAAAACATCTCACGTGGCCCAGGAGATCTTACTCCCCCAGGAGTTTTGAAGATATTGGAGGAGGATATACTCCTGATTGTAGCTCTAATGAGAACCTTACCTCCAGTGAGGAAGACTTCTCCTCAGGACAGTCCAGCCATGTGTCCCCCAGCCCCACCACTTACCGCATGTATCGGGATAAAAGCCGTTCCCCCTCCCAGAACTCTCAGCAGTCCTTTGACAGCAGCAGCCCACCAACCCCCCAGTCTCAGAAACGACACCGGCAGCAGCAGGTCATCGTGTCTGAGGCCACTATTGTGGGTGTACGAAAAACAGGACAGATCTGGCCAAGTGATGGGGATTTGCCCTCTGGGAGATGTCACCAGGACAGCTGTTTCCATGGGGATACAGGTGTGTACCAGCTTTTGCTTAGTCTTTTAAATGTATTGAGCAGGGAATGGCATTGTGGAAATGAATGGGAGACCCTGGGTGAATCACTGTGAGGGGACAATTGTTTCATGTGAGAATTCTGTGTTTAATTTGTAGTTTTGCTGTTTTAGGAAGATTCTACAGAAGTGTATGTCAGCCTGCATTTTACGAATTCAATCTGGATTCCCAGAAGGGTTGATTCAGGCTTCTCTTCAGAGGATCAATGGAGTCCTATATTAATAATTTCTTAAAGTTTCAGTCTGAACACTGAGGTGAAAAGGCCAGAACTTCACCAGGTATTCACCATCTGTGGTGAATTCACCACCAGTTTATTCCCTCCCTCATATTTGTGCACTATGGAGTGGTTAAACTCTACCTCAGAGGTGGTAGTGTGCCAACAAGCCACAACCTGAGGGTTTTGCCAGAGCTTTACCGATAATGATGCTGCTCCCACAGTCTTGTTTTTTCCTGTCTGTATTAATTGCAGTGCTAGTTTCTCGTTCTGTCTCGTGTCAGCCTTCAATTAGAGCTGATTGGAGGGGATGATTGTGCAGCTCTGTTCTTGGAGCTTTCTGCTATCTGTGAGTGAAGGAAGAACTTGGAATATCAGGAAGCCCTGAGGGAAAAAATGTTAACTAAATTTCAGCAGAATAAAACTTTTCATTTGGGGAAGAATGGGCAATGTTTGAACCCGTTCTTATGTAAGTCATTCAGGCATGGAGGTGTGTCTGTGGAATCACAGTGAGTTTATAGGTGGAAGAGGCATATAAGGAATTACATTAATTCAGATGGATTTTTTTGAATGCATGTGGATGTCTGAACCTATTTAGCAAGGCATGTAATGTAAACAGTATCTTCTGCTAACACCAGCAGTCTCCTAAATGTAAATGAAAATCAAATCCAGGAATGAAGAAAATAGGAATGTTTGTTTTGATAGATTTCTTTAATTACAAATCTGTGAGTTCTCTCATGGGTTTTCTTTGTCTCTTTGAATCTCTCATTTTAATAAGGGATTAACATGTTACTTGTCAATAGGACCAAATTCCTGTAGTATTGGGTGAATTCAGAGGCCTGTCAGAGGTGTCACTTTCTCAGGTTGTGAGAGTTTGCTCTATTACTTCTCAGAAGAGTAACTTTGCTCAAAGGAGATGCCCTGGTTTTACTTTCCCTGCTGATTGTTTTTGTCAGCAGTATTTTTGGGGGCAGCAATGGAGGGACAACTCTTCTGTACCCTGGTGCCATCCTCTTACCCATTGTCTTACTGGAAAGCTGGACAGTTGTAGTGGATGTTCAATGTACATGGAAGCTCTGCACCTCCTCACAGTGACTTCTCCCTTATCAGATTGGATGTACATCCCTGTTTTCTCTCTGGGACTGCTGCATTCTTCCTGGGTTTTAGGGGAGAGGCTGAGTCTTGTGCTCATTTGAACTGAGCTCAGCCATCTGTCTCTGCTCTTGTTTACTGATGCTCTTTAGATGACTGGGAAGCCTCCTGGCAATTTCAGTTTTTGCAGAGGGAAACAAAGGGGTAAAAATAACAAAGGTTGATAAAGCTTGAGGATAAATTCAGCTTTCAAAAAGGCAGTGGATAATTTTTATTTTAAATAATTTAGCTGGGATGCAGTGATAAAAAAAAAAAAAAAAGGCAGCTGGAAAGTCAGAACACTTATAATTCCTAGATGTGCTGGAAAGCTTTGTGTTGTGTTCCTAAGGATGACCACACATTTCAGGCAAGGACAGAATGTAACTGATCCACCTTCTGCTTTCCTCAGCTCAGGGGGTGACATGGCAAGCTTAGCAGGAACTTTCACCAGATGGCTAATCAGTACCGTCTTGCACATTAGCTGGTGGCAACTTTTTACTTCACCAAAAAGGCTTATGCCTTCAGGAGGACTGTGTTTCTGATTAATTCCTACTGAGCATTTTATAGGAATTTTCTTTCTTTCCCAATTGGGATGATTTTTGATCTGAAACCAGTTGGCAGAACCTCCTTTTCATAAAACAAACAAAAGGCCTGAGAGACCACTGTGTGATTATCTGGCTGGCTCCCATTCCCAGCTACCCTGCTCTGATGCAGGCTGTTCTCCATGACCATGTGATACCAAAGCCATTCACAGATCCAGACAGACTTTCCAGCACCTGTGGTTCAGTCACTGGTTCTGCCAGGCTTCCCTAAAGTTTTGCTTGAACATAGTGCAAGTTCGAATCACAGTAGGTTCTGGCCAGCCTAAATGTTAATTAGCATCAAGTGGGGTTTATTCAATTTCCCTGTGTATTCAGATTGTTGTGTGTTTTCTGGCTTTGCCTTTGATCACTCTTCCCATAGTAATACTGAGTGTGCTGTGGACAGGTGCAGTGTGAAATTTCCATCTGGATCTGCCCCAGTGCACCTTGAGCTTGGCCAGCAGACATGTGCTGTTCTGTCCAAATTATTTCATGAGTTCACAGTTAAGTGATGTTTTCCTGATTTTGTATTACAAAAGAAGGACGTAACTCTCAAGTGGATGGGGTCTGAGCCAAAATTTGAATCTGTGTTTTTGGAGGTAGATTATCAAAAACCTTAAAGCAAACCAAGATGTAGTAGGCTTTCAGTTTTTTTCCAAGAAGCAGTGTGAGAGCTTCAGGGTTGAGATTTGGTAATTGCTGTACTTTCTATTAAATGTACTTAATGGAGCCTGGGCAAAGATATTGATATTAGGATTAATTATGTATCACTAATTTCCTGTAGTGGGAATAGAAAAAAAATCACATTTTAACTTTGCATTAAGCTTGAATATCTTTACTATGATTATGAAGAAAGAACAAGATTTTTAAAATTCTGCCTTCTGTTAAATGTTGCAGAAATAGACATGAGAAAAGCCACTCATTGTACATTTCTGCTTATGGTCAAGGGGAAAGTTGCACAGTTCTGGTATGGAATGATGGGATCTTGCAATGGCCTCAGCTGGGACAGTTTTTAACTAACAGCAGTTTGTTAATGAAGATCACACTGGAGCTGTTGCATGGCTTTGGAGCTTGCTGCATAAAATCAGTGCTCTCACTCTGTGTGAAATGATTTTATCTGTCTTCATAATAACATGGAAACTATCTGGAGTCCACATAAATAACATTTACCTGCACAGCTGCTTCCCTCAAGGTGCCCCAGAAGTAACTTCTGTTCAGGTGACAAGTGGTGCTCTGAGAGAGTCGTGCCAGGCTCTTTCTTTAGACAGCCACCAACCACCACAGTGCTCAATATGAGGTCAGTCTGGGGATATGTGTCATTTAATTCCATTGGAGTGAAGTTTTAACTTATTTTAGCCTTCACTAAATGTGGGAGTTCTGAATGTCCCTTTCTGGAGAGCGTTCTCTGTCTTTTTATGAGTTTAATGTACAGAGAGGAGAGAGCAGTGCAATTTATGCATGTGAACTGCAGACCTCACAATTCCTGTTATGTCAGCAAAAGGACAGTTTAAAACTCCTGCCTACCTAGAGCTGTAGGTTCTTCAGTTTTTGTGTACCTTAAATGCCCGAGCAGATAAGCAAGCATCTGCTTTTCCTGCTTTTAAGGCAAACTTTACTTATTTGTAAAGCCCCAAGAAAGCATGTCGTGTGTCATACTGGAAGGACCTTGTTCTGTAGCAGTTTCTGCAAGGGTTTGCTTCTTGAGATATTTGCATCTTCTGAGATCTTAGACAAATTTCTTAACTCTGCACTTCTTCCACCCAGTGTTGTATTCTGTGAATTTAGCTTTGAGATGTCGTTTGAAAAGTTCTTTGCGGGATTTTGCAGACTCCTGAGGCAACAATGCCAGTCCTGTTGCTGTTGTTCAGAAGCAAAACTTCCCTTTGAGCAGCTGAGACAGACTTTAGTCCACTGTGTAGAGATTCTTCGTTCTGTGGAGCTGAAATGTAGGAACTTTTATAATATGCAGACTGCTTGTTAATTTTAAGGCCTGTTGGCCACAGGTCCGTCCTGCTTTTCATCTGTGATTTACATTGGATCAATAATGTGGTTTAAGTTTTCCTGACACTTGTTTGGTTCATTTTGCTATTACTTCTTAAACATGTTTTAATTCTTCCCTGTGATGATCAGTGATTTCCTAGGAGCACTGATGCCAAGATGCTGTTTCGGTGCAACCCCCCCACCCTGCCTTGCTTTTCAGTGATTTAGTGGCTTTTGAGATTTTGGAGATTATCAGGATGCTTGCATTCCCACTCCCTTCTTCTTAGTCTGGGGGAGTGAAGAGCTCCCTCTCTCTCTCTCTTCCAGATTTCACTTTTCCTCCAGCAGAGTTTAATGGAATCTCTGGAGCTGCTTTATGTCCCCAGTGATTATAGTGGACTCTGAAGTGCTTGTTTTGTTCCTTCTTCCACAGAGAGTTACTAATGTTTACCTCAGGCCTGACAGAAATAATAGTATGTAGGTAGATACTATTTTTTCCTTTTCTTAGGTTCACTCTAAGTTTCTTAGGTACTTCTGCAGTCACAAAGCACCTGCCTTTGAAATGGGAGTGTAAACCAATCCACACAGTAGTTGTCTGGTACTGGGGAGCCCTGGAGACTGCTGGTGTCTCCTCAGTCTGATTGTGTGAAGCTCATTTTCATGGTCCATGACAGGGAGATCAAAGTGGGACTGCCTTTCCTTGGAGTAAGCAGAGAGCTGTGAATTCTGCAAGTAGTGTGTCAGAGAGCTGTTTGTCCTCCCTGCACCCTTACCAAGAGTTTAAAGGGATCTCTGGCAGTGGCAGTGAGCTCACTTTGTGCAGCTGCCACTGCTGCAGGTTGGCTTGGGCCTGTTGGAGGCAGGCAGTGGCCTTTGGCTGGGCAGGTAAAATGTATTCCCAGTGCAAACTTCAAACTTGGGAGTGGTGTAGGAACTCAGCTAGCACCAAGCAGCCCCAGAGGCACAGGATATCCATGCAGCATCCATAGTGTGATGGGCTCAGACTGGAATGCTGTGCTGGGTACAAAACAGTCAGACCCAGGTGATTCCAGCTCGGT